TCCACTTGCATGCCTTACTTATGTGTCTTGCCTTATTGCATTGGCTACGACTTCCTGTTGAAAAGAAGTGTTAAGAATGGACATCATTGCTCAGTTCTCAGTTTTAGGGATAAAGCATTCATCCTTTCATCATTATGTATGATGTTAGCTGTTGAGTTTTTGTACATGCCCTTCATTCCATTAAAAATGTTCATACTTTGCTGAGGTTTATAATCATGACAGTAGGTTGAATGCTGTCAAATGCTTTTATGAATCTATTGAGGTCATCACGTGCTTATTTTCTTTAGTCTGTCAACATGGTGAATTACAGTGATTGCTTGACAAACATTGAACCAGCCTTGCATTTCCCAATGATTGTGGTGTGTTATCTTTTTTATATGTTACTGGGTTCCATTTGCTAATATTTTAGTAAAGATTTTTTTGTGATAGAAATGTTGGTGTTTAGTATTATAATATTTTTGTCTAGTTTGGGGATTAGGGTAAAGCCACTCTTACAGAATAAGATGACAAGTGTTCACTTCTATTTTCTGGAATAGAAAGTATAAAACTGGTGTTATTTCTCCCCTAAATATTCAATACAATTTTCCACTACAACCATATGGTCCTGGAGTTCTCTTTAACAGAAGATTTTCACTACGATTCCTATTTATTTAATGAATATAAAATTATTCAGATTATCAATTTCTTCTTCAGTGACTTTGGTTGCTTGTGACCTTCAAAGAATTTGCCCATTTCATATAAATTGTTTAATTTATGTTCAGAGAGTTACTTGTTATATTCCTTCATTATTATTCTTTTTAATATCTGTAGAGTCTTTAATGTTAGCCCCTATTTCATTCCTGATATTGTTAATGTGTGTCTGCTTTCTTTTTTCCTTGATCAGATTAGAATTTTGCCAATTTTATTTACCTTTTCAAAGAACCAACTTTTCATTTTAAGAATTTTCTCTATTATTTCCCATTTTTAATTCCATTATTAAGTGACTTAGCTTTAACATGTTCTTTTTCTACTTGATTTATGTGGATAGTTAAATTACTGCTTTGGGATCTTTCTTCTTTCCTAATAAAAACTTTATACCTATTAATTTCCCTCTAAACACTGCATTAGCTGTATTACACAAATTTTAGTGTTATACTTTCATTTTAATTCACTTCAAAATACTTGGCTATTTTGAAGTATGTTTTATTTAAGTGTGTATAATTTAGTTTCCAAATAATTGTGGATTTCTCAGATTTATAATTTAATTTCATTTTGGTCAGAGGATATATTTTATATGATTTCAATTGTTTTAAAATTCTTAAGTTTTGTTTTGTGGCTCCAGTAGAGCATGACCAATCCAAATCAGAGCCTGAAAATTTCAATAATACTATCCTGTCTTTATTCAATAATTTTATATTTTGTTCATCATTGATATTGAGTTTTTCATTAATTTTGATTTTTGATATCTTATATCAACATATTATTTATCATGATGAGTAGACATCTTAGTTTACTTGGGCTGCCACAACAAAGTTCCATATACTGGACGGTTTGAACACGTGATTTAAACAACAGATATTTATTTTCTCACAGTGCTGGAGGATGGAAGTCCATGAAAATTGTCTAGCCAATGACATGGTCAAAAACATGGACTTTTCCCATTTCTTCCTTCTTCCTGTCCTATGAGATGTTCAGAGCCTCAACAGTCATTTGGGACCATCAAATGACAAGCATCAGGCAAATACCAAGGAAATTCCTTATTCCCTGACTTTAATAATTAGTACTAAATAGTATCTAATGTGGTGTATTGAAGAAACTATACCATAACTACCTATCTCCTCTATTTTCTTAAGTCACCTAAGAGAACATTTCTGTTTTCTTGCATCCAAATACATTCTTAACTCTACCCTCCACTGGAGTAGGATTTTCTGATGGAGATATACAAAACATGTTGCATTGGCTTTGCCTAACGTCTTTGATGCTCCCCTATCCTGACCATAATCACCAGGACTGCATGAGACAGAAACCTCTGATTCTAGATAGCTAGCTCTGACCCAGCGCAGTCATTGTCAAGTATAATAATCAACATAAAAATAGCATCCCAAATACCAGTTCTATTCTTAAAACTGAGATTGGCTAGCTTCACAAAAAATGTCCTGAGAACATTATTTAAAATACAGGCCCCATCCTCAGTGATTCCCCTCTAGCAGGTCTGCAGTGAAGCCCAGAATCAATCACTCCTCCATGTCATTATGATGATTACCTAAATTTAGCCTATCATGATAGTGCCAGAACTTGACTGGAGAGCCTCATTTGGAAATTTAATGTTACATAATTTTACCATCTCTCACATTCCTGACATTTACAAAATGCAATTCTATCCAAATGCCAACCCTATCCCATCATGCTTTATCCTATTTCTCCATTATTAATACTCCTAGCACTGTTTTCCCCTCACTGCTCACTCTGAGAAAAAAAATACAAAACTTTCTTCACATACTTTTAAAGAACACACGATGTGACCTTACCTGAATACTAGCTTTTTCTGTAAGATCACTTCCGTTGTACCTTTCCCAAGGGCTGACATCCTTTTCCAATGCCCCATAAAACACAAGGCCTAAAATTAATTTTGCCATTTCTCTAAATCCCCATTGTTGCTCCTATACACTGATTTATTCTTCCATGTATAAAAATGTCTTGGCTAATGATCCCCAATTTATTGGGTATCATGTGTCATCCATACTGCTGTCCATATTCATCGAAGACTTCAGTCTTGGATTTCTTTCTTTTTTTTTAGTTCTCTTCTTTGGCTCTGAATCTAATAGTCTTGTATCAATTTAATATCCATGTGAAAGGTCTATCCAATAGTTATCTTTAAAACTCATGCCTCAACTTTTGTGAACTTTATTTTCACACCATCTCAAAAACACTATGGTAACATTATCTAGAACTATTATTGTAGAAATTGTAGGCTGCAATATTTTTCTATAGGACCACAACTTTTCCTTTAATGTCTAACTTTCTGATGCTCTTATTTCTACTGCTATTGCTTTTTTTACTTCTATAATAATTCTATAGAGCTCTTCTGAGTGCTTACTAAAAGATCTGGTATTTGTCTTTTGTAATTTATTGTGATTCATTTACATTGGCCTTTGGCCCAGAATATGTATCATGGGTAATTAGGGAAATGGCTTTGGTTCCCAAGGAAAAGGTTCATGCTTAAAATAATAGTAGAGTCCTATTGCAGGTGATCTCAATTCCAAAACACAACCCCAGCATGCTCCTGTGTAAATTTGTAATGGAAATAATTTCAATGACAGCAGGTCATTTCTAAATTCCTAACAGTTCAGAAAGTCCAACCAATAGCTGATTTTATTGCCTTATTCACCTTTGAGAGTGATTAGCTAGAATGGCCAATGATTAGGACTAGTTAGGGATCACTTTGGTGGACTCCAATTTCTGTAGAAACTATGAAGCTGAGATATATCAAAACACTGATGAAGTGATCAAGGTCTGGAGCCAGAAGTCTCATTAAAACTCAAGCATAAGCTGACTGTGCTCTGGACCCAGGAATACCATGCTGGGTAACAGAGAAAGGCATATTAGGGGAGATTTAAATAGCAGAGTAGTCACTAGAGCAGCCGTGGGCAAACTACGGCCCGCGGGCCAGATCCGGCCCGTTTGAAATGAATAAAACTAAAAAAAAAAAGACCGTACCCTTTTATGTAATGATGTTTACTTTGAATTTATATTAGTTCACACAAACACTCCATCCATGCTTTTGTTCCGGCCCTCCGGTCCAGTTTAAGAACCCATTGTGGCCCTCGAGTCAAAAAGTTTGCCCACCCCTGCACTAGAGTTTGCTTTCCCTGAAGTTAACCATGTGTTCTATCCTGATATATTGCATTCCTTCTGATAAAGCTAAAAATGTTATCTTCATTTAGTAAAAAGGCATTGAAGTTTATACTTCAATCATTTACTTCTAGAAATGAGTGAGTTATATTCTGTTCCCTTGAAATTCTCCATTTCAATTTATCTCTATTCAACTTATTATATAGTGATTTCTTAGCTAAGATATGCTGACTACAAAAAATGCAAAGATGAAAGAGACCTTTATGTGTTCCAGTGTCAACAATTCCTATAAATCCCTATCTTGTTCTGGGTGCTACATATTTGTAGGCTCTTATCCTATAAGTAGGAGTGCTGTTTAAAACCCAAGCACAATACAGACACCATTTATCAAGATTCCTTGGTTTCTCTCGATCCATCCCTTCTATTCTTAAAATATTTACTACAATTACCATATCTTTACACCAAATTAGAACTTGGAATCCTCTCTAAAAAGTAACTATCTTTATTCTGATAAATCATACTAGAGTAAGAAAAAATTTAGAAAGGAAAAAATCTATATATATATATTTCTTGCTTGATTATTAGACTACATTCATTTTACCTAACCAAATTAAATTTTAACATTGATCTTTTCTATTGATAACAATGTGAATGGGGAATTGAATACTATTCAATTAATATAAGGGACCAATATGGATCATTTTTAGATCTGATATATGTAGTTTATCAATGTAGCTATCTCAGTTTAAATAGAAAATAAATTATAACTTGTTATAATGTCTCCATTTGTGTCTCTCAATGTAATAATCACATCAACTCTGCAAGAACTCAATTTCAAGTCTGTGGAGGTCAGTTTTCTCTCATTTTGCTAGAAAGGAAAGAGTTCTCTTGGTAAGATTTAACTAGCCAGTGTAAACACTGCTACAAGATCTCAAATCTGAAACTAAATTATCCCCTTCAACTCTTTATAGCATCAGAGTCAGTGAAGAATAGCCTATATTCACTTCTGGCATAGATCTAGTCATTGTTAGACAATTTATTACACAATGGAAAACAGGACACTCTAAAACATCAGGCAAAAATAAAGAGCAGATCAAAGTCATTACAAAGTTTGTATTGCACTGAATTTATTCTACACAATGAGGATCAAAATGATAAAAAGTTCTTACCATTTGCAGGCAAGCAGCCTGAACTGAAAGATATATCATCAATAGCTATGACTTCATCCTGTTCATGAGTTGAAATCAGTTGACCTTGAAAAACAACCTACATGAAATAAAATAAAATTATTTGCAAAGCTTAAAGGAAAACAAACCTGCCCAAAAATACAAAAGAAATAAACAAAAATAAAAAGCAAAGAACATCACTATCTCACAATCTTAAGGTAGAGAGCCTACAAATAAGAAACATCACTTCCTAGAAGCACTTGGGTGACCATGCCAATTCCAAGTGGAAAGGGATCAAAGCGTAAATGCGAAAGGACTGGAAAAAGTACAGTCGTTTCTGTGTCTCACATGTCTAGCATAGGTTAGGTAACATGTTTGTGAAATGATACAATATTCACCTGGCTTCTGCCCTATAATCATCCTCTGTGTTTGGTTCCCATGTGTTCATACTACTTAGTATTTTTCAGTTTTTGTATCCATGCTCCATCTTGAACTCTATTCTTGGCATTTCACAACTTTACCACATTTTCACCTCTGGTTTTCTGAATTTTACTCACAGTCTTGCCTTGGATGTCCTTGTGCTATCCTCCACATTTTCTGCCATGATCTAAACATAGCTTGAGACATTGACCAGAAATGGTTGTTCAGTGACTTACTGTTACAATAACTGAAAATTATATTGTGATGTGCAGCTAGCCCACGTCTGCACCAAGAGAAAATACTTAGGTATAATTAATCTGAAAAACTTAGAAAAAAACTACTCTCCAGTCTCTTAATTACTTAAATCAAAAGAAAGGAGGTGTGTTGGTAAAGAGTATTATCCCACCCTTACTAAAAATACCATTGACATTTTAGGCTTAATTCATGGATACATTAAATTTGTGTTCATTGTTAGGCCTTGTTTATAATATAAACATTTTATTATTTTAAAGAGTCAGCACTGCTTTTGAGCTTAACAACAGGTCTGCATGCAGTCAACCCCAGCAGATCATTTGGTGTGCTGCATTCTCCTATGTTCCTGTACAACATGGTGCACTGATACATTTTGATCAAACCAGACACTATCTGCAAGTCTGTTAAAAATATGAAGAGAAATATCCATAACCTATTGAGCAACTTGTCAATAAGTAGCCCTAAAAAAGTCAACTTTTCTTCACAAAACAGAATAACCGTGTGCCTACTTAAAAGCAGGACCAATCTATCAAAGATTGTTGTGTAGGGATGGTTTTATATGAAGGCAGTAGAGAAGAGTGATAAAAGTGCATATTTGGAAGCAGACTACTTGGGTTCAGGTACCCGCTACACCACTGAATAGCAACCTGACCTTGGAGAAGTTACTCAAGAGGTCTGTGCCTCGGTTTTTCCTTTGTAAAAGGGTATTGACAAAAACGAGGCTATTACCTATGTGATAAACCATTTACAAGGATAAATGAGTTATTATATGGACAGCGTCACTTAATACATAGTTAGTATTTAAATAACTATTATAACAGATTTATTAAAATATTTAAGCTATTATATGAATACTGTGTTTACAGAAAAAAAATCTATTCTCTGCAGATTAACATTTCATTCTTCTTGAAAGCCTTTTCATATAGATACATTCCCCAGTCATTGCTGAGCTAAGCTTACACACACCTATAGTAGCATATTAAAAGAGATAAGTAGAAATAGGTATTAACTAATCATCAGGCTCTTCTATTTTTCTCCGCACTCTTTCCCCAAACCCATTCAGCCTCAGGATTTCAACTGTCACCCAGGTTGATGAAACACAAATTTACATCACAAATGTCAACTTCTCTCCTGGGCTCTCCTCCCACATCTCCACAGCCTGCTGTGCATTTTCACTCAGATAGTGTTAAGTCCGTTCTAATTCATAATGTTCGTTCCCTTTGAACTGGACCTGTCACCTGACCTTCACTCTCTGACAATGGTACTGATATCATTGTAATTAGCTACTTATTAATAACTAGTGGCCCAGTGCATGAAATTCATGCACATTAGAAGGGGATTAATTAGAGGAAATATTTTAATATTGCTATTTGCCCTTTCTCTATAATAGAAGTGTCAGAGATGAAAGAAAATTAGTAAAATGTATATGAAAATCTTCCTCCTGTCAGAGTCTGGGGCATGCCATGGAACCCAGAGTCAAGTCCCTGCTCACCCATGGTGCCTCAAAATCACATGAGACCCAGACCCAGCCGGCCCCGCCCCCATTGGGCGAGATCCAAACCCAGCTGGCCCCACCCTTGTAAAGCCCCACCAGGTGGGGGGCCTAGCCTCAGGTCCCCTGGCCCGGCAGCCTCAGGTCCCCGGTCAAGCCCTGCTGGGTGAGGGGTGCAGCCTCAGCTCCTCCGTCAAACCCCAGCAGGTGGGAGGTGCAGCCTCAGGTCCCCCAGTGCACCCTCAGGTCCCCTTGCCTGGCGCTGGGATGGGGGTCATGGCCTGAGGTCCCTCAGCCCAGTGCCAGGGTGGGCAGCATGGCCTGAGGTCTCCCATCAAGCCCCACCGGGTGGGGGGCGCAGCCTCAGATCTCCTGCCCCGGCCCATCGCCCTGCAACCTCAGGTCCCTGCTGATTGCTTGTTAAGGCTCGTTATGGGAACTCAGCCTCCACTGTGGGTGCAGCCATCTTGTGTTACGGAAACCCTGCCTCCGCTGTTGGCACCGCCATCTTTGTGATGGTGTGATGGTCAATTTGCATATTCCCTCTTTAATAGATAGATAGGAAAGGAAAAAGGGAAAACCAGAAATTATAGCATGTCATTTGGGCAGTTTCACCAGGAAGCTGCAACTTTGCCCTCCCCAGGGAACATAAACACATGCCCAGTAGATTTGGGGTGACATAAGGAAGACACTTGCTTGTAAATCACACCTGAGGACAGAGATGGTTGGCCAGAATGAGTGTGGCTACTGCAAGCCCATGAAAATGTGGGAATGCATAATCCCCCTTAACAAAGGAATTCTCTCTTGTTGCTCTCTATTGTTACTCTTGGCATGTGACTTGTGACTCCTTGGGCTCTTTTGCTTCTGCTTCCTTGCATTCTCCCATACAGCCCAGAGGCAGGCAGATCCCATATGCAATGTACCAATGATCTGCAGCGGGAAACACAAGCTAAGCTATCCTGATGCTGGATTAGACATGGCTCCCACATGGAAAGAAGACTCTAGACACTGGCTCTGATTTGAGCTCTACTGAAACCCCAGTAGAGCTCTATTTCTTTTATGACTGTACTAAGGAAAATGGGACTTCAAAAACCCAGGGTGTAGTTCCAAGTAAATAAAACTTTCTACAATATCTCATCCTCCCATGGGGGCTTCCAGAAATGCTTATTCCAAGAATCCCACTTCTACTAGCAACTGGGGGAGATGAGCCCCTCTCTTATTCATAACAGTACCCGAAGATGCTCAAAACTTCAAATTGACCTTTGGAACTACTTTCTCCTTCAGTCCCATGTCCAATCAATCAAGACCTAGGAAACCCTCTCTTCTTTCCATGCCTATTTATAATCCTCTATCTTCACACATTATCTAATAAAGTAAATTAAATTTAAATTACCTTCTTACCTTGAACCCTCTCCTCATCAGAGTTTGTAACACATATAACGTACTTATTGATTTTACTAAGTTATTGTTAACTTCGTATAACTGAAGAAAAGTTAGTATGAAAATTGGTTACCATTTGAGCGCACTGATCCAACAAGAGGAAATGTTTTTCTATTTCTCTAAGTGTAGGGGAATTTACTAATGGCTCTCAGTAGCCACAAAACACAAGATCCACCAGGCATAACTAGATCATCTAGTTACATATATTCCTACAAAAAGATTTTCCAGGGATTTTGGTTGAGATCCCAAAAAGAGGGATGGGTTGAAACATATAAGAAAGTGGAATCCCAAGATGATTTAAAAAGCCCGGTCCTGTGATCAGAGGCTGTGTTGGGGTATAGTAGTAGTATTTCTTAGGGAAGTGGTGTTTAACATTCCTTGTTTTCTTCAAAACTTGGGCAAAGGATATTTTTCCCCAAACATCCTCCTCGTTTTAACTGTGTTAGGGGAAATAATAAAAGTTAAAAAGTGGCAAAATCAAAGCAGATTACAACATAGATAATGGAGTTGGCAGCATCAGGAAAGTCAAGTTTGGCCTGCTCTGGTCCAATAGTAAACATGAGACAAATTCCTTTCAGCCCTAACATTTTAAGAGAAGATGGCCTTTGAAGAGAGTGAAGGGGTCAGCACTTGAGCTACTTGATTTAAATCTTAAATAAACTTTGACAGGCCCTAGCCGGTTTGGCTCAGTGGATAGAGCATCAGCCTGCAGACTGCAGGGTCCCAGATTCGATTCCCGTCAAGAGCACACGCCTGGTTGCAGGCTTGATCTCTAATAGGGGAGATGCAGGAGGCAGCCAATCAATGATTCTCTCTCATCATTGATGTTTCTATCTTTTTCTCCCTCTACCTTCCTCTCTGAAATCACTAAAAACATATTTTAAAAAAATACACAAAATTTTGACAGCAAGTGAATGCATGTGAACCTAACTTGGATTATACAAGTAACTTCATGAACAGAAACTCTTATAATGATATTTATTATATTAGAGTTTTCTTAATTAGTAGTATACGTTTAATATTATTTCCTAAGTAAACAGGAAAGATGACTAATTCTGTCCCCATCATGTGTTCAGATACTAAATATTCTTGAATTAAAAGGTAAAATGACTTCAATTATAATTTTGAAAATTTTGAGAGTAGAATTTTTAACATTAAGATAACAATTCATATTGATTTGTATGAATAACTTATTTTTTGTCTATTTTTATAATATCTACTGTTTCCGGCTGTAACCGGTGTGGCTCAGTGGATAGAGCGTCGGCCTGTGGACTGAAAGGTCCCAGGTTCGATTCCGGTCAAGGGCATGTACCTTGGTTGCGGGCACATGGGAGATGTGCAGGAGGCAGCTGATCGATGTTTCTCTCTCATCGATGTTTCTAACTCTCTATCTCTCTCCCTTCCTCTCTGTAAAAAATCAATAAAATATATATTTTTTTTAAATCTACTATTTCCGAATAGGAGGCTGCTGAAAATTCTTTGGCATTTCTAAATGG